TTTTGGTGGTACTAAGGTTTGATTTCAGGGCTTCACACTTGCAAAACAGGCACTCTACCACTTGAGCCACACCTTCAGTCCATTTTTCTCTGGTTATTTTGGAGATGGGGGTCTTATAAACTATTTACCTGGGCTGGTCTTGAACTGTGATCCTCCCAATCTCAGCCTCCCAAGTAGCTAGGATTATAGGCATGATTATGTGTCATGGAGTGACACAGGAAGAAGATGCTGGTGTACTGATATGGACTTCCACCTCTACTACAGTAAGAAATAAAATTTCTGTTCATTACAGTTCTGTTCTGTACATTGCAGTTTGTGGGATTCTATTACAGTAGTACAAAACAGACTACACCAAACTGTCAATTTTCTGTTCCTTTATGTGGCAAAGGCCAATGTTGAAGAATTTTTGGCCAAATATTAGCAGTGATCCCCTTCTCCTTGCCAGGTTTTTCAAATGGTCCTTTTTATAAAGGTGGGTGATGGGTTCAAGTTTCTCTTCCAACTGTCTATTAGTTTCTACTTGGCTACTGCAATCAAGCCTGTGGATCCCCTGCTGGGCGCACAGCTGTGAACACAACATAAAGCACTCTGCCCTGTGGAGCTCACACTGCAGCCGGGGGACAGGAAAGGAACTGTAAGTAAAATCCGTAGGATGTCAGGTCGCAGTCACTGCTCAGGAGGGCACGTCAGGAGTGGTGGAAGGGGGTATGGATTGCAGTTTTAATCTTTTTATTGTGGCAAAATACACATAAAATTTACCATCTTAATACTTTTTTTCTTTTTGATGGCACTGGGGTTTGAACTCAGGGCCTAAGGCCTGATAGGCAGGTGCTCTTACTGTTTGAACCACTCTGCCAGCCCTGTTTTTGTGAAGGGTTTTTTTAGATAGGGTCTCTCAAACTATTTTCCCAGGCTGGCTTCACATTGAGATCCTTCTGATCTCTGCCTCCTAAATAGCTAGGATTATAGGCATGAGCCACCAGCGCCCAGCTCATCTTAATTTTTAAGTGTAGTGCTCAGTGATATTAAATAAATGTCTAATACTGTGTACCTATCACCACTATCTTTGCTTTTTTTTGTGGGACTGGGATTTGAACTCAGGACTTCACACTTGCAAAGCAGGTGCTGTACTGGTTGAGCCATGCCTCAGTCTATTTTGCTCTGGTTATTTTGGAGATGGGGGTCTCAAATTATTCTCCCAGGCTGGTCACCACCATCTTTCCGTAACTCAACTTAACTCCCCATTCTTCCTCCCCTCAGCCCCAGGCAGTCATTCTTTCACTTTCTGTCTCTATGATCTTTCTGTTTTGTTTTTGGCAGTACTGGGCTTTGAATGCAGGGCAGGGCCTTGTGCTTGCTAGGCAGACACTCTATTACTTGAGTCATGCCTCCAGATCTTTTTGCTTTAGTAATTTTTCTAAGAGGATCTCATGTTTATGCCTGGGCCGTGATCTTCCATTTACACTTCCTGCATAGCTTGGATGACAAGTGTGCACCACCTCGCCCAGCTTTCTATTGTTGATGGGGTCTCAAGAACTTTTTGTCTGAACCACTGTGCCCTGCTGGTTTTGTTTTGCAGAGTCAGTATCTTGCTATGTCGCCCAGGCTTGTGTAGCTCCACTTGCCTCAGTCTCCTGAGTGCTGGATTTACAGGCGTTCACCAACATACCTGGCTACCAAATTCGTTTTGATATTAACATGCAAAAACACAAGTCAGACAGCTGTCATGTTATACTTTCTCAACATATGATTATCATTCACACATCACTGAGTCCAAGGAACGTCATCATGAGAAACCAGCAATACTTTTTGTTTAGTAAAAGAAACGATTCCTGTGTCATTTTACTTCTCTGCCAGATTTAATACTTAACATGAAAAAAAAAAGAACACTTAACATTCGACTTACCGTTGAAAGAGATTTTGTTTTGGTTTTGAAGATGGAATCTTACTGTATAACCAGGCTGACCTGGAACTGCCTCAGCCCCTTTTTTTTGCAATACTGAGGTTTGAACTCAGGGCCTCACACTTGCCAGGCAGGTGCTCTTACCATTTGAGCCACTCCACCAGCCCTGCCTCAGCCTCTTGAATGCTGGGATTATAGCTGTGAAGCCCAATGCTTGGCTTAACAGATTTTTAATCTATTGTTTTCTATAGGCACAATATTGCATAGCAGGTCTCTAGAGCTTTTCCATCTTGTTTCGAAATTTTACATCTGTTCATTAACAACCTACTGGGATACTTATATCAACATATCAACATACCAATTTAAGGAATGCTGTTTTCTTCTAGTGCTTTAGTGATTTCATTTATTTTCATTTAAATACTCAGTGTATTTGGTGTTTACTTGGGAAAATGAGTCAAATTTTATTTTTTCCAGATGCCATGTGTTAGTAAGTCCAACTTCAGTATGCTGACTTAAGAGGTCACCTTTACCAAAGTCAAATTTCTGCTTGTATTTGAGTACATTTCCGAACATTCTATTCTGTTCTATTAGTCTTTTTTTTTTTTAATTCATGCACCAAGACCACACTTTCTATTTTATTTATTTATTTTTTGTTTTGCAGTGCTAAGGATTGAATGTAGGTAAGTGTTCTACCATTTAGCTACACCCTCAGCCCTTACCACACTTTAAATTATGGTGTATTCGGGGTGTTCCATTATTTCTTAGGGCTAATTCCATTAATTGATTCTGGTTTTTAATTTTTATGTTTTATTAGTAGACATTTAAATTTTTTGGCTAAAACAACAGCAATTTATTTCTCACAGTAATGGTCCTGGGAAGTTGAAGATCAAGGTGCCAGCAGATGTAGTAACGGACTTAGAATTTTTTTGGTTTTTTTTTTTTTTGGTGGGACTGGAATTTGAACTCAGGGCTTCATGTTTGCAAAGCAGGTGCTCTACCGCTTGAGCCACACCTACGGTCCTTGGACTTAATTTCTTAAAGTTTTACATTGAAGGGTTTTTTTTGAGAGAGGGTCTCTCAAACTCTTTGCCAGGGCTGGCCTCAAACCATGATCCTCCTGATCTCTGCCTCCTGAATACCTAGGATTATAGGCGTGACCACTGGTGCCTGGCTTATGAATGACTTTTTTTTTTTTTTTGACAAGTCAGTTAAGGAGCACATTGAGGATATAAGTATGAACTTGAACAAAAACCTTGGGAAGCCATTGTTTATTTTATTTATTTATTTATTTATTTTTTAGAAACTGATGTTTTATTTTCCATCAACTTTTTCCCATTTTGCTGAAGGGATGGCAGAGCAACAACTTAAGACCATCCAGTGGTTGTCCCCACCCACTCAGTTGCCTGAGCAGTGGGAGCTGCAGACCAGTCTTCAGTGGCTGGTTGGGCACTCCAGTCTTCAGTAGGGAATTGCTGGATAGGCACAGAAGGCACTTGTACACCTTCTGACCAGTCTGCGACCTCAGGCTGGGTAGCAGTGAACTCAGGAGCTGGTGCAGTCCATTCACCCTGAAATTCCTCCTTAGTCACAGCCTTTTCAGCGGCAGCCTGTTCTTCCTTCTCAATCTCTTCAGGATCTCTGTAGAAGTACAGATCAGGCATGACCTCCCATGGATGTTCACGGGAGATAGTTCCACGCATGCGCAGAACTTCCCGGGCCAGCATCCACCACATTAGACCCACCGAGTGAGCTCCCTTGTTGTTGCATGGATGGCAATGTCCACATAGCGCAGAGGGGGAAGCCATTGTTTAGGCTTGAGCTCCTTACACTAGAGCAGACCAAACCAAAATGGGATCACTCATGCTAAATGCTAAAATGAAACTTTAAGAAGCCAGATAAATCCCAAGACTGAGCAGTTTTTTCCCTGAAAACAGGAGATTCCAGTCTACCTGAGTCAGCAGTGAGGAAAGTCTCCTCTGTTTAACCTTATGTTACACACAATGACCTTTTTCCTATTGTTCTTGTCTTGTTCCCACTTTACAAAACCCACTGTTCTGCCATTGCCCAGTGGGCAGTCGAATTCAATTTTGTAGAATTGGAGGCTGCCCCAATTCACGGATCATAAATAAAAGCCAATTAGATTCATAACTAAATCTGCTGTAATTTTGTCTTGTTTTTTAGACAGTGTTTTGCTATGTAGCCCAGGCTGGCCTGGAATTTGTAATCCACTTGCCTCAGCTTCCCAAATTCTGGGATTACCAACATACAATTTTGTCTTTTGACAAACTCATGCAAACATAATAGGGTGAAGAACCCAACTAGAATGAGGTGGGAGTTTGTATTTCCTACTGAAGGGAGAAAAACAAAGGTATATATAATTTATCTCAGCTGTGCTAGGAACCAACCTTTTGATTTGCTGCGGGAGGTGAAGGGGGCTAGGAATCACTTCAGCACAGCAGCCACCCAGCTCCAAGGTGGTCTCTGGCTCTACCCTGGTGGAAGTGGATAGAACTGTAAGGTAAGTCTTCACCCACCTGGTGTGCACACATCCTCAGATCTCTTCCAGGAAGCCTCCCTACCCTCCCTCCCCCCGACGCATTCCATCCTGGAAGGGGCTCCCAGAGCTTCCTCCTCACCTCCCTGATGGCAGCCACTCTGTGACAGAGCGCTGAGACTTGCAGAGTGAGGAAGAACGGGCCTGGGAGAGAGACAGGAGATGGCTCCAGGGGAAGGGCACAGCTTGCTAGGGCCCAGCGCCTGTCTGGAGCTCGGGTCTCCCGGAACAGAAAAGGAAGCTGGAGCTTGAAGGAAGTAGGCTAGCAGCCTGAACTGGCAGAGGATTTTTAAGACTTCTACAAAGAGTTTGTGTTTGATGGCACACAAGAAGCCATTGCGAAGTTTTAACGCAGGGAGTGGTTGCGGTCCCTAAGTTTCCCAATGTGTCTGGCGAGCCTTATTTCTCCTTTATTAGTGTTGACTCTAGCGCCCACAGACATCACTGTCCCAGCAAGAGCGGCAGAGGCCACCTTAAGCCCGCACCACCTTAAGTAGGCTCCACCCCAACAGCAGCCAATGGGCAGAGCAGCCGCGGGGTTGGTCACTTGCCTCCCGGGCCCCGGCTCCCACCCCAGGGCGCACACCCTGGCTGCGGTCTGGCCATGGCCGTGCTGCTCCGGGCCGCAGGTCGGGGGCTGTTTCCCTGGAGGGGCTTCTGCTCCAGGGGGTCGCAGGTTGGTCCTAGGTTCCCCTAGCTCCGTGAGGCCACCGCGCAGCCTGACTAGCCCCCACGTTCCCTCCCGCCACAGGGGCAGGGTCCAGTGACCCTGACAGTGTTTCTCCCCTGTAGGGTGAGTTCACCCCGGGCTTCGTGGAGGCTCTGAAGGCAGTTGTGGGAAGCTCCCACGTGTCCACTGCTCCTGCAGTCCGAGAGCATCACGGGCACGATGAATCCATGCACAGGTAGCAGAAACCCTCGCTGGGACTGAGGGTCGTGGGCTGTCCACGTCCCCGCCCACCTGTTTTGGGTGCTCTGGCGTTGTCACGTGGAAGGATGTTCTCCGCCCCTCGCCCGCGTTGTGGGACACCTCCAGGTTTCCTGCAAGGAGCTGGGATGGGGAGGTGGGCTGTGTCACGTCCCTCTAAATCCGCGGAGGTCTGCTTCTAGGTGCCAGCCTCCCGATGCCGTGGTGTGGCCCCAGAACGTGGACCAGGTCAGCCGGCTGGCAGCCCTGTGCTACAGCCAAGGCGTGCCCATCATCCCATTCGGCACGGGCACCGGCATTGAGGGCGGAGTGTGCGCCGTGCAGGTGTGGTGAGGGTCCCTGGGTGTGCTCCCGTCACATTTGGCACCTTTGCGGCCATTCCCGCCTGCCATTTAGGAGCTCAGGTCGGGCTGTGAGGGCCTCAGCTCCGGGGTGGGGGTCTGGAGGCTGTGCCTGGCCTGGACACCTGGGTCGGTCAACCTCCTTGGCACCCCTGCCACCAGGGCGGTGTGTGCGTTAACCTGACCCACATGGACCGGATCACGGAGTTGAATTCGGAAGACTTCTCGGTGGTAGTGGAGCCGGGTGTCACCCGTAAAGCTCTCAACAGCCACTTGCGCGACACTGGCCTCTGGTTTCCCGTGGGTAGGCCGGGGCACCCTTCCCAGGGCCAGAGGGCTCGCTGGGGGCTGGGCAGGAGCCCGCTGGGGCTTCGGTGGATCCCGCTTTCCTTGCCCAAGGGAAAGGGCCTCCCGCCTGCCCAGGCTGCCCTCCCCTGCACTCTGTCCCTCAGATCCAGGTGCGGACGCCTCTCTCTGCGGCATGGCGGCCACCGGCGCCTCTGGCACCAACGCCGTGCGCTATGGCACCATGCGGGACAACGTGCTCAATCTGGAGGTGGTGCTGCCTGACGGGCGGCTACTGCACACCGCTGGACGGGGCCGCCATTTCCGGTGAGCACCCTCTGCCCTTGCCTTGGGTTCCCGGAACCGTAACGAGGAGGGGAGAAAGGAGCCGTCATCCTTGAGTCGTCATGCTTGAGAGGACTCTGGAACCTCGTTCTCCCGGCCAGTGGATGGTTCTGAGCTTTGTTCTCCCTGCACAAGACAGATCTGGGTCTGGAGCGCCAAGCACTGTGATGGTGCCTTGGGTTCCAGCTTCAAACCTCTGGACAGAGATCCCTCAATGCGTGGCCTGGGTACTCACCTACCTTATGTGTCCCTGGGGCCTAGGAAGAGTGCAGCTGGCTACAACCTCACAGGTCTCTTTGTGGGCTCCGAGGGGACACTGGGCCTCATCACATCTGCTACCCTGCGCCTGCACCCTGCCCCTGAGGCCACGGTAGCTGCCACCTGTGCATTCCCCAGTGTCCAGGCTGCGGTGCACAGCACTGTGCAGATCCTCCAGGCTGCAGTGCCTATAGCCCGCATTGGTGAGCCAGGGACTGGGACAGTCAGGGTGGGCTACCCAGAAGAAGCCCTCTTGAAAGGCTAGGCCTCATGTGGCTAGACCTCTCTCTCTGGTCCCAGAGTTCCTGGATGACTTCACGATGGATGCCTGCAACAGGCACAGCAATCTGAACTGTCCTGTGGCACCCACACTCTTCCTGGAGTTCCATGGCTCCCAAGAGGCGCTAGCAGAGCAGTTGCGGCGGGCAGGTGTGCTGGGCAGGGTTGGGCAGTGGGGACTGCCCCAGTGTAAATCCCAGGGTCAACCTGCCTCCCCCCACTGCAGAGGAGATCACCCAACACAATGGCGCCTCTCACTTCTCCTGGGCGAAGGAGGCTGAGGAACGCAGCCAGCTTTGGGCAGCACGGCACAATGCTTGGTATGCACTCATGGCCCTGTCTCCAGGCTGCAAGGTGAGCTGGGACTGGGGTGGAGGTGGGCTCTGTGGCTCAGCCCATAAACCCTTTCCTCCATCCACTACCCTACCCTACAGTACAGAGCAGCAGGCTGAGACCCACCAGGGGGCTGGGCCTGGCTAACCTGGGCCTTAGAACCCAAGCTACAGACTGTCCCACCCAGCTGTTTCTCAGACCCTGTCTGGAGGGAGAACATGCTTATCTGCCCAACACTTGGGAGTCTTTCCTGTGAGCCAGGCTGCTGGAGCAGAGCTGAGCTTTCAACAGTTGTAAACATATAGGAAGGCCTCCTGGAGGAAGAGGTTAGCCCCACCAAGTAGGGAAGGCTGGGCTCCAGGGAGGCTATACAGAAACTCAATAGTGTGAGATATGGAAGACTTGCACATGGCTTAAGTTGGGGAGCCAGGAGAGTGGTAAAGGCCTGGGTTGGGAAGTCCTGGTGAACACACCCAGGCCAGTCGGCTAGAGAAGAGCAGGCTGTTTCCTTGAGGTCAAGCTGAAGCCAGATCCCCCAAACCCACTCTTAGCCTTGGCCACAGTGACCCCATACCTTTAGCAGGCAAGGGTGTTGGGGAGAGCCTCACCAGCCTGCCCTCTGACCCAGGGCTATTCCACTGATGTGTGTGTGCCCATTTCCCGGCTGCCGGAGATCCTGGTGCAGGCCAAGGAGCAGTTGAAGGCCTCGGGACTCACAGGTTTTGTCTACTCACTGTTGGGAGTGAGAGGGAGGTGCTGGGGCTTACCAGCGCCTAAGCCAAGGGCACTATCCTCTGGGCCCCCAGGAGGAATTGTTGGACATGTGGGCGATGGCAATTTCCACTGCATCCTGATGCTCAACCCAGATGATGCGGAGGAGCTGCATAGGGTCAAGGTCTTTGCAGAAGAGCTGGGCAGGTAGAAGCTCAACAGAGGAGGTAGTGGTAAAGGGAGGGCAGAGGGAGTGGGAGAAGAAAGAGGCTGCTGAGGACCCCTTATCATGGCATCCCAGGCAAGCACTGGCACTCCGTGGGACATGCACCGGGGAGCACGGCATTGGACTGGGCAAACGGCAGCTGCTGCAGGAGGAGGTGGGTGCTGTTGGTATGGAGACCATGCGGCAGCTCAAGGTCACATTGGATCCCCGAGGGCTCATGAACCCAGGCAAGGTGCTGTGAGGAGCTCCGAGTACACAAACCCCTCAGACTACAGAGCCCCTGTTGTGAAAGCTCCCTTCATACACCAATCCTATCAGGGATAGATAATGGCTGATGGTCTTTCCGCCTGTTTGTTTACGGTCTCTAGTGGGAGCCTAAGGTCAGGGGACCAGGAGAGAGCTAGGCTCCTCCCTGGTCCTCTTGCTGTCCTTAGGAGCCCTTGGTCCAGTGGATGGCCGAAGGTTTTTCTCAGGGCTTCCTCTTTGCCCTTATACATCCTATCCTGGCTGGGAGATGGTGTAGGCCCACCCAAGACTAAAATTATGTCCCTCCTGGAGGCCTCCCCATTGCTGGGACTCAGGACCCTTTGTTCTACACCTGGAATAGTAAGAAACCTTCCACTCCACATTGATAGGTCTTCTCCTTGTCTCCCACCCGCCATGAATCTGAACCCCATTTGCTGCTGTCTGTGGAGCAGTAGGCAGCACATCCCATATCCACTCTCTTCCTCTCCAGGCTCTCTGACCTTTGGCCATCACCCATTTGTTTTGGACTGTCCTTTGATATACAGTAACCTGGGGGAGGGGAAGGGTGTTCAGGCTTTGGAAAGAAGCCAGGTCCCTCTTCCAACTCCTCTACTTCTGAGAAGCTCAGGATGATGACCTGTCCATGGTGGAGGTCAATTATGAATTTCCCCACCAGCCTAGACTGGGCCTTAGGACACTGAACACATTCTTCATTCTCACACATGGAAGTGACCTACTCCTCCTCCTTGTACATACTTCCCCATGCTATGATGTACTATATCGCCAACCTTTATTCTCAAAGTCAAAGTCTGCCCACTCTGGGGCCTGCCTAACTTGTCAAGAGCCAGGCACTTGACAGCTGTTTTCCTTAAGCCCACAAGAGGGCGCCGGACACCGCCTGCTGTCAGCAGCTGTGGCCCAGAGGACTCTTCCATCCAGGGCCTATAGCTCCCAGCCCTGGGCCACCTGCCTCCCAGGGTGTGAATGGGGTGGGCTGGTAGGCCCCCCCACCCTTGCAGGTCCCAGGAGCTGTCCATCTCCCCCACTCCTGGACCTCTTGCCCCTCTTGATGGGCGGGGGACGTGGGGAGCTCCTGCTCACCTCTTGCCTTCTCCAGAGCCTTCCTGTCCCCTAAACACCCCTCCCATCAGACTCTGGGCACAAGCAGCCACCATGAAACTTTCTCAGTCCAATGAGACTTTCCTTGGACAATGAACTCTAGCAGACAGCAGTGACAATGACCCGGGCCTGTGGACACTTCTCTGATTCTGTCCTGCGGATGCCCTGGTTGGGAGACATTATGCCAAGGTGGTTTGGTGGCAAGTCTCAGCCCTCTCTGCCAAACCACTCCAGGACATGAGTAATCTGCTGTGTGCTCATCCCAGAAACACCAATCTCCAGCCCCCTCCCCTCTCAAACAGACTGCCTGCCCCTTCCACCAACCCTCTGGGATGGGGATTCTGCAGAGGCCTTCTGGCTGGGCAGGACTCTTTGTTGTGCCCTCCAGTGCCTGGCAACTAGAAGGCGCTCAGCAAATGGCCATTTCCCCACAATTTCTTTTATTAAGAAAAATCTCAAACATACAGTAAAGTTGAAAGAACAAGTATACCATTCACTGAAGTACCAGCCACTGAAGCTCTAATAGACATTTTTGCCTTATTTGCTTTGTGTGTGTATTTTTTTTTGGGGGGGGGAAACATTTGGAATTAGATTATACATTTCTTGAAATCATTCATCTGTATACTTTAGCATGTATCTCCTAAGAAAAGAACATTCTCCTGTGACCTCAGTATTATTAAATGGCTGTTAGATGGATAGTTTTCAAGAGGGGCTCCTGCCCAGGAAAGCATGCTGGGCCCCAAAAAGAGAAAGGACAAAACCCACCTCCCCATTCCTCCATGTTCTCTTCCCTCCCAGAAAGACAAGAGCAGGGCTACTGCAAGATTCCGGAAGGCTGGGATGGATGGTGGCAAACACCCGTTCCACATGGAAAGCCTAAGTAAGTCCAGGATGTAGCAGCCAGCAGAGGGCTTCTGTGTGCCAGGTGGGAGCCGAAGTCACCAGGGCTGGAGACAGCACCACTCCCTAGAGCCTGGAATAGCACCTAGCATGTGCCCCAGCCCTGCGCCCAGCCAACTCACAAACACGACTCACACCACCAAGGTGGGCACACAAAGCCTCTATTTCCAGGCCCAGGGTCAGGCAAGGAGATCTCCTTCAGGGCTGGGCCCTGCCCCACGAGCCTTGCTGGTGGAATTAAATATAGAACAGGGAGACACAGTTGCCAGGCAGAAGCAGGAGGTGCTGTGAATAGAACAGTGCCCTTTGCAGTGACAAAGCTACCAGGAAGGCTGATGTGCATGTGCCAGGCCTTCAGGGCAAATCCCCTGACCCTCACAGCGACCTCTAGGTTGCATAACTTCGTCCCCACTTCACATGCAAGGTATCTAAAGTTCAGATGAATTAAGTTATTTCCCAAAGTTCATTCTACCAAGAAGTGGAAAACTCAAGTGCAGACAAAGACCACATTCTGTCCACTGTCTTTGATAGGTCCTAGGGTCTTCACCCCAGGTGGGTTCAAAGACTCCGAAACACAGATTCTTCTTCAGTTCTCTGAACAAGGCTTGCCTGCCTTGGCTCACAAGTACCCACTGGCCTGCAAACGAATGTCCTTGCACAGAGTAGGTGCTTCAGGAGGCTCTTTAAGGGAAGGTGATTGCAGAGCCAGGGGCTCTGGTGGCAGCACAGTCCAGACTCCAGGCCCTGGTGGGGTTGAGCCCTGAGGCATCAGCAGAAGGAGCAGGGCACAGAAGGTGTGAGTGGTCTCCCTTCAGAGTGCTCCTTGGCTGGTTTTGCAGGCAGCCCTGGAATGCTGCTCCTGGAGCCTGGCTGGGAGACAGAGGCCAGGCATGCGCTGCTGCCAGTGCTCTGAGCTTCCTGTCCAGCTTGCAGTTCGCCAACTTTTGAGAGCCTGAGTGGCTGCTTCGGCTTTCAATGCTTTGAGCTGGCTCAGCCCCAAAACAGGGCCTCTTCCTGGGCCTTGGTGAAGCATGCCCATGAGTCAGCATTGAGATGTGAGGACCTGACAGAGCAACAGGCAGGTGGGGCAGAACATGGGATGGGGAGCAACGGCTGTGAGGGAGGGGCTGGGCTGACACCTGGAAGGACCTACATCTTTGACGCCTCCAGTGACTTCAACTTTTTTGCCCCTGTACATCTTTCCAGAAAAGTTCCATCATGACCACTCCACAGATGATGGCAGATTGGTTTCATGATGTTTAAGAGTGAGTAAACTTATAGGACACACACCTGAAACACTAATTCCCCTTAATCACCACACACACCTGCAGCATGGAACAGTGAGCTGAAGGAATGCTAAGGAGGTTAATTGCAGGACACCATGAGCTTTTGCTCTTGTTTTTTGATTGTATAACAATACTTCATTAAAATAAAATCACACGGTACATATTTTATTAGACATTATTTTAATACCATATCAAAACACCTTGACTAATGAAGAAAGTTTTTCTCCCAAGCTTTGAACATTTTTAAACATTTTGTAAGGTCTTTTTTTTTTGTATTTTAATATATAAATACAGAAATCTATGTTGCATGGGACGATGCCACGTGTGAACATCAATGGCTAAAATGTTCTCAGAGTGCCTGAAAACAGGAGTAGTGGTATATGTTTCTTTAGTAAGTCTTTTGTTTAAGTTTTCTGGGAGGGAAAAAGAATCCACAAGGGCCTAAGAAGAATGTTCAGGTATTTTTGCAGTACACTTGTGGTTGTTAAATCCTCTGAATTGACCAGAACCAGGGGGAAAGAAAAGGGAAGACTTGACAAAGGAAGTGGAGAAAGTCCTTGATGTGTGTTTTTTTGGCAATGAAATCAAGATATCAGGGTCATTAGGGGAGAAAAGTGCAAAACCAAGCCAGAAAAATGGAAACAAAACAAAACAAACAAACAAACAAAAAGACCCCAAGGTAAAGAGGTTGGTGAGGCAGGGAGCCAACTGGGTGCTGGGCAAAGGAAGGGACTGTGTGCCCGCCTGTGGTCAGAATGCTAGCAGCAAGGACATGGCTATGCTTGGTTCTGTCACTGAGTGGGTTATAGCTGGGCAGCAAACAGCAATCTGTAAACATCACGAGGGAAAACACCAGTCGACACTAGACTTTTTTTTATATAATTTTTTGTTGTAAACACTTTAAAGACAGACCCACAATGCCTTTCAAAGGTGAAAAAGAAAATGCCCTTTCCCTCCAGGACTGAGGGTGAGGGGAAAGATAGCAGTTGATTCACTCTTCTCTCAGACTCGCTCTCATCCACCTGGATGTCCTCGGGGAGGAGGGAGGGCCATTTTCTGGAAGTCAGTGCAGAAGGGGTGCCCTGTTCCCTCTGGGGTCCCAAGCTCAGCTCTGTCCAGTGTCCGAGGAGCCTCCTCCAAGGAACAGGGGCTGTCTGTCCCTGTGTGGGTCGGAAGAAGTCAGTCGTGCTCCATCTGGCCAGGGGCAGTGTGCCGCTGCATCCCACGGTGGCAGCGTGCCCCAGCCAGGGCAGGCTGAAGGGGGAGTCTGTGGTTCGGTCCGGGCAGGCCCCCCAGAGGCCAAGCATCGTGACAGGAACCTGCACTTCGTGGCCAGGATCCACTCCCTCTGCCTCACTCTCACCCTTGCTTTTTCTTCTCCCCTTGCCATCAGACTTTGAGGTGAAGGTAAAAGAGCAAATGTCCCTGATTTGTCTGACATCATCAGCTGTTCTGGGCATTTACTTGGAATAAATAAAATAAGCCTAACAAAAGAAAACAAAATAGAGAGAGAAGAAAGAAAGAGGCCCCAAAACCTTTGGATGTGAGATTAGGTGGAGGTGGGCTTTTGATTCTTTTGGGGCTTGTGTCTATTAGTTTGCCAGGAAAAAGAAAATTCTAGCCCAGAACTTGGAAGGAACAGGTAGGATGAGGGCAAGAAGTAAGGAAGCCATGGGGATCAGACCCCATGGATACACAGGAACATGTGTGTGTACATTAGGGTGGAGCTGTGGTCCTGACCTGATGTATTCGGGACACTGAGTTGTGGGATGAAGGGGCTGAGTCCAGCCTGGAGGCCTGAGATCATCTGGAAGCAGGGTAAGGGGACAATGCACAGTCCCATGGGCTGTCTACATAATGAGTGCATGTCCACAAGGCGACAGGGAGTGATTCTCCTTCAGAGAAGCTGACTCTGAGAGGCAAGTAAGGACAAGCAGACCCAGCTGCAGACCCTGCTTGCAGTGAGGAATCGTCTGCTCTGCCCATGCACTTCCCAGGATATCTTTCTGAGCTTCCTCAGGGAGATGGCCTTGAACACCTGGACCGTCTTGGCCTTCCCCTCCTAATTTTACCTCTTCTGAGTATGTTGTGCACAACCAGGAAGAGGTGTTCACATCTCTTATCTTTTCCCAGCAAAAGCCCTTCCACTTCCAGGAGTTCTCACTGATGAGATGCTCCTGTCTTTCCCTCTGTTCCTGCATGCTCCTTGGAGATGTGTGTCAGGGCAGCCCTACTCCCCCACAACCAGGCTCCCAGTGACTTGACCCTGAGCCTGGAGCCTGGAGCCCCCCAAGTACGGGCTCACCTTTGAGAGGAGTCGGCAAGCAAGCCCAGCAGGGTCAGTCCGCAGGGTGTTCTGGACAAGATCTGTTCACTTCAAACCACGAGTCTATGCAGCTGGGGCAGGGGTAGCAAGAGAAAACCATATTAACTGCTGACCACACCACTCCTGCCAAGGCTCTTTCCAGGGTGACACTCCTGAGAAGGGTTTTCTAAACCTCTCCTGAAAGGACCCGAGGGAGAAACTATTATGCCCTACTCTTTGAAGCAGAGAGAAGAGAGAACACCAAGAATGATCACGGTTCAGCAGGAGGCAGCAGTGGTAGATACTGGCTCAGGTAGATATGGCACTTCAGGAAGGGCAAGAGTGGCCTTGAGAGGGACCAAGGCCCATGTGCAGGGAGCCAAGAGGACAGCAATAACTACCAATGACAAAATGAGGTCAAATGGACCATGCAGAGCAGCTATCAACTATGTCCAAGGCTTGAGGGGCAGGGAAGCTGGCCAGACTACTGGTTCTCGGGTCCCAAGAGTCTCCTCCTGTGTCAAGGAGCAGCTGTGAGGTTCCCTCCCCAGTGGGGGCCTCTTAGGAGAGCTACAGATCCACTTGATTTGGCTGCAAAGGTGGAAGGGGGCAGACCCTTGTGCTCTGACACTGCTAAGTAAGCAAGCTAGGGAGGGACTTGTAGGGAAGTCCTGCTCTCCAGTGTTTACAAGGACCATCTGCATCAAACAAGGAATAGCAATTGCCCCAAGAATGTGTTTGTGAACCAACATCTGGGCATTTTCAAAGACAGCAAAAAGATAATTTGCATAAGTCTCCCTCAGGGCCAAAGGGTTTTCTTTTCTGGTTCTGGTGAATGCTGCCCAGAGACACTGCAGGGCTCTGTACTGGGACCCAGACCAACAATCATAGTTCTCTGTCAGGCCAGTTATGCACCAGGCACAGCCTATCACCCCGAAGACCAGTGGCCCTGGAAAAGCCATGTGCCAGGATGAAGCGCTGGGCTCCAGGAGCAGAGAGCAGGTGGTGGCCACAGGAGCACAGGGTGTCCTCCTGTCCTGGACAAGGAGGTGTCTTCTTTCCAGTTGGAAAGAAGAGCAAGCCTCCTGCTGGAGGCTGAGGACAAATCTTGGCCCTGCTAATTATAGCAGCTCTTGGTGCCCACAGGTAGTGGCTCTTCTTGCCTCCTGGCCCTATGGGGAGAAGGGCAAACATAGGGCAGCAAAGAATCCCTCCATACTGCCTCTTCTACCCTGTGGAGCAGAGAGGCCCATGGAAGAACAGGAGTCAAGCTCCAGGTGAGATTTGAGCACCTCCAACCTGTGGGGCTCCACTAAGCAGAGCTGAAACTGGGACAATTCACCTCTGTCCTGCCCTGTGGTGCTCAAACCTTCCCATCAGCACATTGGATGTCCATCCTACTTCCCTCTGTTCCCTTGGTGGGAAGAGAGGCCCCAAAGGGGCCAAATGGCTGGTGCTGAGGGTCTACCCTTTGGATGTGGTTGCAGCTGAACTGCCCCTGCCGGGCCCTTGTTACCTTTTGTGATAGATGCACAGGCAGGGCAGCCTGGCTATCGTGTCCCCCTGAAGCAGCTCCTCCAGGCAGATCACACACTCACCAGCATCTTTAGTCAGCACATCATCTGCAAAGGGGCACAGGCAGAGTGAGAGGGTTAGGTGTCAGTGGGTGGGTGGCACACAGCAAGCACAGGTCTAAGAACAGAAGCCTGAAAAAGACCTTGACCTTAAGACCCTTACAACATGTTAAGAGAAAAATGAGACTAATCCCAAAATGTGATTAACCTTAGGCCTAGGTGGGGAACAAAAAAGGCAGCGTGAAGCAAGCTGTTTCATTAACACAGACTGTTGCCTAAACACACATGTATCAGGTGCACTGAATTCTGGTTTGGAAAACATGGCACTAGGGAGGGTGCTTGAGGCAATGGTGAGTGGAACAAAGAGGTATTCAAGCAAATACTTGTACGTGAATGTTCACAATATGATCTGTAATAGCCAGAGGTGAAAACAGCCCAAATGTCTACCTTCTGATGAATAAACCAAACATATCCATACAAGGGAATATGACTCCGCCAAAAAAGGAAGAAGGAAAACACACAACAATGTGAATGAACCTTGAAAATATGCTAAGTGAGAAAAGCCTATTACAAAAGGCCATCTATTGTGTGATACCATTTACACAAAGTGTCCTGAATAGACAAATCCACAGAGACAAAAGGTAGGTTAGGGCTGCAGGCAGGAGAAAACAGGGTGACTGCTTAATGGATAAGGAGCTTTCTTTCTCCTTTAAAAATTTTTATTTTATGGTGGTAAGAACACTTAACATGAGATCTACCCTCTTAACAAAATTTTAAATGCACAATGCAGTATTAGCTATAAGCACAATGCTGTACAGATCTTTAGAACTTATTCATCTTGCATACCTGAAAGTTTATGCCCATAGCATCTTTGGCAACCACCAGTCTACTCCCTGGTTCCATGAGTTTGGCTACTTAGGTACCACAGAAAGTGAGTCACGGTAGAGAGGTTTTTTTCAGGGTGATGAAGTTTTTGGAACCAGATATAGATGGTGGTTGCACAACAGTGGGAATGTTCTTAACTTCATTAAATTATACATTTTATTTTTTAATTTTTTTTTTTTTAGCAGACTGGGGTTTGAACTCAAGGCTCCACAAGCCCTGTTTTTATGTTGTGTATTTTCGAGAGTCTTGAACTGCCCAGGTCTTTCTGATCTTTGCCTCCTGAATAGCGAGGATTACAGGTGTGAGCCACTGGCACCTGGCTAAATTATACATTTAAATGGTGAATCTTATGTGAATTTTGCCTCAATTTTAAAGAAAGAGAAAGAACAAAGAAGACCCTGTTCCTCCTCCCAAAAAGAATGAATGGAAGGTATTTCCTGTACACTTTTCCAGGGCCAGTACTACAGCCAGGTTAGTGCTCCTTTTGTATATATCTGCGGCATTCTGTGTACCAAGGACTAGCATCTGAGCCAATGTAGGATTCAAAGAACTCATAGTGTAGTCAGGGGGGCTGAACAAAAAGCAAAAATGTGCTGCATAACTCCCCAGCAGCCTTCTGACAGAGACACAGGTATGAGGGATAGGGGAGAGAACACCCACTCAGGATGGAGACTGTCAAGGTGGGCTTTGGAGAAGACTGTGATGAGATGAGATAAGCAGAGACTGGGTGGGAAGGAGATTCCAGGCAAAGCAAACAGTACCATGCACCTGGGGCTGCAGGGGGAGGTGAGACTAAGTCCCCAAATGCAGCCCTGCTGTGGACTTGGGTCTCATCTGCTGAACCAAGAGGCATTGGAGGCATGCCCTGATCATATCCCTGGAAGCTTCTGGAGCATGGAGTGCAACAGTCTGAAGATACAGAGCCCACTCTGGAGATCAGCACTGTGAGCATGCAGCAGCAGTACATGTGTGACAAGGGCCTGGTAAATGGTGTACACTTGTCACAAAGAGAGGGAAGCCAGTGGGACAAGCATGGGCAGAAAGCAATGAATTCAGTTAGGTAGGACGTCTCCATAGGAACATGCTAATGTTCCAGGAGTCTGCTTTAATCTAGATATAGTGTTCAGAACAGAGATTTGGGTGATAGGTGTAAATGTGGGATAGACTGGGAAGAAAGTTTAGACCAAAGTCCAAGAAGGTAGGAGACTGGTTTCATCAGGGGACAGGGAAAAGGCAGACAGGTACAAGGGTTACTGCAGAGGGTGGGTAAAGGGCAGGTGAAAGAGGAAACATGAGCAGGTTACCCAGAAGCTCCCCAAATCACAGAGGAAACATCAAGTTAGCAAGTTATGGCTGCAAGGAAAACAAAGTGTAGCAGGATGACTTCCCGTCACTCAACGATTTTATCTTACGTTTGCAAACCTGGCTGGTGATACATACTGAGACTGTGTATGTGTTTTCCTCTGAGCCTCTCAATCTTACGAGAGAGGCAAGGCACACTGTGTAATCCCATTTTGCAGATAAGGATATGGAAGCCTTGAAATGTCACATCTTACTCATGGCAGGAGGGTTACGAATGGTGGGACCCTCTGTTCGGGTGACCTCTCCCACTTGCTGTTTCAGATTATTTTGGGGGAAAGGGAATTATTGAGGACCCATAAAGTCAGTATTCTTTTTTTTTTTTGAAGCACTGGGGTTTGAACTCAGGGCCTCATACTTGCTGCTTGCTAGGCAGGTGCTCTTACCACTTGAGCCACTTTGCCAGCCCTTTATTGTGATGGGGTTTTTTGAGATAGGGTCTCCTGAAGCCCAGCGCTGGCTTCAAATCATGATCCTCCTGATCTCTGTCTCCTGAGTAGCCAGGATTACAGACGTGAGCCATTGGCGCCCCACTAAAATCAGTATTCTTTATGACCTAGAAGGGTCTGTGTGGTGACTTAAATCCCCCCACCAAGAACCCCCAGGAAAAGGTAGAAAACAGAATGGCTTTGATACTTCAGTCTCTGTGCATAGGATTTATGACAGAAGTCACTCGGCTTCCTGGCCACCAGGACTACCTGTGATCATTTTCTAACATTTGGCTAACCCAAGGGCCCAAAAGAAAGGACGTACAAAAAGAAAGGAGAGGGCACAGTCTGCCACTGGACTGTCATCTCACAGAAATCTACAGGAAGGCACAATCTCATCATTTTAAAGCACTAGATACCATGCATGTTTGTGTAGGCAAAGAAGAAAGTCTGAAAGGATACAGAGTTTAATAGTGGAAGAAGGAAGGACTAGAAGAAAAGTACTTTGATGTTCTTTTGCATTGTTTGAATATTTGAATGTACATTATGTTTATACTTAAAAACTCCAAGTCTGAAGAGTACTGGAATTTGCATTTTATTCTGAAATGCATCAAAAGGGTAAGATAAGGTCAGGGGATGGACATTAGGTAGTGAAGTAGATAAAAGGATAATGCAGGTCCTAGGTGGCTGATGTGTGGGTGTTCACTGCAGGTCACTTTCAACTTTGCTGTATGTTTGATTCATTTCACAATAAAATATTGGAGAAAAAAACCTAAACAGAAATGGGAGAAAATATGGCCTAGTTTTGAGAGGGTGGAGTCATCGTGCAGACGTGTCCTGCACATCACTTCACCCCAACACAGGCAATCAGGCTATGGCCCTCATGCTCTTTACGTGGCTCCTGTGGACTCAGGGCAATTTCCTCAGAGCATATCAGCATCACTAATATCAAAGTAATTCCCTCACACTTCTTCCACCAGAGGGTGATACAACCGTGAACCCCAGAGACAAGTGAAGATTCCTCTGGGTCCCGAACAGCGTCCTGCACACACTGTGCTCTTTCCATATTGGTATCTGCTCCAAGAAGGCCTGTGTGGTCCCCAGAGGTGATGGATCTGGAAGCAGGGGAGGTGAACATGGGGGTTTCTTTCTCTAAGAGTCAGGACTGGGTCTGACTCTCCTTTCTCGTTGCATTGCACGTTGCTAGGGGAAGGGGGAAAGGCAGGGGGCACAAGGGTGATTCATTTTTGTAGAATGCCCATGTCCTCAAGGACTGAGCCTTGAACATGTGTTGGTTAAATGCAGCCTTTTCCTGGCCTTTTCACAAAGCATTTTATGTGTCTCACCAGCCAGCATGGGTCTGCAGCGCTGGCGTGAAGTGAAACGTGCAGCTGCCCTGCCAGGCCAGCACACGGCAGGAAGCACATTTTGCGGGGAATGAGGCTGCAAAAGGCCACCTGGAGGTTCCTGGGGGTGGGAATGAATGACGGAGTTGGAATCTGACCATGTGGGGAGAACAGCAATGCCCACACCTAGCCCACTGCCTGGGGAGCAGCATTCTCCCATGGCAGAAGGCAGGGGGAACACAGGCCTGCAAGAGGTCTGTGTGGGCTGAGTGAAACTTCCTGTCCCAATCACCAGGGCTCAGGGAATCAGCAGCCCCCAGATGTCTGGAATTATAGTAGGAGACTGGAGATGGCTGAAGTGGAAATTTGGCTATCAATACTGGGTCCCACAAGACTTCCACACTCTTCGGACAGTAGCCTGTGGCCCACTGCTAGAGGGAAGTCACAGGGTTGGGGGGGCACTTTGCAGCACAAAATCAAGGACCCTGAGCCAGCATATATTGAGGCCACTGCAGATGGACTCAAGCATCCCTTGTCATGCAAGACTCTGGAGGAGGGGCTCAACAAATGCTGGATAATGAGAAATACAGAAACAAAATGGAGCTTTCTGCTTTTGGGTCTGCTTTTTCTTGCTGCCTCAAGCTGCTCCCAATCTTCTTGATACCTTGTCACTGCCCCTGGGGAGTTTGGCCTAGCTGGAGGGTGGGGGTGCTAGATGGTGCCAGTGGCCAGCCCTTCAACCAGACTAGGGAACCAACCCAGATGGCAGACAAAGCTTTTTGGAGCCCAAACAGGAGATATGATGCTGGTGACCAGCTGGAGTGAAGGTGAGGGCATACTTCCATATTTCTGTTCTCCTTGAGATCAGGGACAGCACTTCCTCTCCTCTCCCTTCCCGCCCCTCCCTCTCTTCCTTCCTTTCTTTTTTTTTCTGTGTGTGTGTGGTACTGGGTTTGAACTCAGGGCTCACGCTTGCCAGGCAGATGCTCTACCATTTGAGTCACACTTCCAGCTAGGGACAGCACTTCTG